ATTGTACTCTAGTGTATCTCCACTGAACAACAATACATAGTTCATTGTACTCTAGTGTATCTCCACTGAACAACAATACATAGTTCATTGTACTCTAGTGTATTATATGTTTTGAATCTATCCAAACAGTAATGGACTACAAACTACGACATTTGTTTGTGTGACATAATCTTAAAATTAATTGGACATGTACATAACCTTCAATAAATTTCCTCTGATTCCTATAATTATGCAATATTACACTAGAAAGCACAGCATCTAAGAAAATGTTTAGATAGTGATTACACACCATAGGCCTTCATTATGCTTCGTTGTGATATATCTAGTTAATATGTAAATGAACACAGCTGGGCAAAATGTATCTTAATTAATTTGTATAACGTACAGTACTTACAACTCTTAATGTACTATCATATTATGGCCTAAAGTGTCTTACATGTCTTCATTTTACTTTAACTTACTAGGAATTATTTCATATAATCATATATAAGGTTATTAACAACTGCATTTGATATTAAACCATATACAATTTTACTTTCCTTGGACAGTTAGAACTTATCTTAATATCATTAATGACATGACCATTACAAAGCATCATACAACATCAACCTAGACAACAGACCAACTCACCCAGATGTTGGTGTACTCAAAACTTGTATTCATGTTCTAGTTAATGAACAATTCTAGCATGGATACACACCAGTATTTCCATCACAACTAATTCTAATTTCATATCTTCTCTAGTTGGAAGCCCTATATCCAGTAAACAATATCTGATTCTCAATTCAACCCTTATATATTTTATTTGACCAAAAGAAGAATCTCTGTCCCATTGGAAATCACAACTGAATGGAATTTTTGCCCAAAGGAACAATATCTGGTGTCCCGTGTATCTTAACTACAGTGACGCATACAATTGATATACTACAAGTGTTACCTAGTTCATTATAATCTTATTTTATTTCAAACTGCCTAGATGTTTATTTCAGAGCATGGGTATCATATCTAACATGCCTAAATAAATCAGGAAATATTTAAATAAGAAATGCTATTTTCAGCATTAAAACATCATCATCTCTAACTCAAGACAACTAAAACACGCCCAGAACTCCCACTTATACAAAACTTGAAGTATGTATATAATTGATCTGACAGTAATTTTATTTCCTCTAAATGAAGCCAATTTGTACTGCTTCCAATAGTAACGCTTAGTCCTGTATCTCACAAATCTATAAATCAGAAGTGTTTGCTCAGCTATTTCTATGTTTCCCTTACTTTGGTTTCCTTTTTATCTGATGGTCCTCAAGAATTTATAAACCAATGTTTGATTTTGATATGCCAGTGTAGTGGTGTCATTATTTGACATCAATGGTTATAGTTAACCTTTCTGTTTATACGTGTCCGTTTGCGGCGGAAGTCAACCTTCTACATTGTACATTGAGGCGACGTTTTAAGCGTGCATCCGAAAGTTAGAATGAAAGTTAGTGTTGGGATAAGAGTTGCATGATGTGTTGTAAACCTGTCATAAACTCGTTAGATGAAAGATAACAAAGGCAATCTTAAAATCTTCTAACTTGTGTTTAATCCTTGTTTAAATAATGTGAGGCAATTAATTATGTCTAAAGCAAGAAAGATTAATTAAAGTAATTACAATAGCCTGAACACATCTAGATCAGCATTATAATGTAGCTCCCCTCTCATATTCACGATGAATAACTGTATACTGGGAATTTTTCAGCCAATCAAACTTTCGCCACTTCGCTCATGAAATCAGTTTTCGCCCAGTGTTTATTTGCCATTCACTAAGTATATTTGTTGTTTACCCTTATTAGCTGTAATAATAAATTCGCCCTGATCACATAGGGCAAAAAGGTGAACATTTTACAGCAGTGAAAATTTCCCAGTACACAGTAACTTATATCACATGCTTTCATTTAATATTCCCAATTTCATCAAGCTAAACACAACGTCAAAAATGACTTAAACATAACAACTTAACATTTTGAAATATAATTGTTTTTAAAAGTTTTTGTGCAAGCACAATGAACACATATGCATTATAAAAATACAGATAATCATAATAATTATTGTGTCAACAAAGGGCAAACATCTATACACATACTTTCTTAAAAAAATCATCTATTTTATTCAATAAATTTCCTCATTATTTTTCTCATGTGACTGGTTAATAATAACAGTGCCAGGTTATATGTAAGTATTTATAAACTTATCAAATTTAAACACATTGTTCCCGTTAACTCATAAATATGGTAAACTCATAAATATGGTTAACTCATAAATATGGTTAACATGTTCTTTTATCTCTGTTGCAGATTATATGTTTTTAATTCACGGGGATTTTTTATTTGACGAGAGAGTGTCAATTTGATATTCGTGTGGCGGAAGGCACCCTTTCGGATTATGGCCTAAATTTTATTCTCGAACCAAAAAAATCTTTTTTTTACAAATATGAAGCTCACATAGCCCACTTCATCACGCTTATACCAATTTTAGTACAGTTTTATTTTTATATATTTTTTACATATCATTATACAGGGGTTAGCCATTTAACAAAAATATCACCTATGGCCACATGTTATTTCTTTGATACATCATGAGTGTGATATTGTGAAAATATCACTATTCAAATGAAGCAACGGTAGAATAAGTGGTTGTTATGGTAAATGTTTGGTACACACACATAAGAATTTACATAAATATACAATTAATAATATTTTTATAGGCAGTAATACCAGAAAACAACAGAAAACGTCGGAATTGCATTGAGTATCCCATTCAAAATGGCGCACAGCCTTGTTCCCGCCCTTTTTTAATGCATTACATTTTTTCATGTTTTATGCTTTAAAAATGTAATCAATAGAAAATTTAATGGTGTCTTCAGTAAAAACAAATATATTTCACGAGTGTGGCTAATATTTTGATATTTTTTACTCGTGCTGCGCACTCGTGTAAAATATCAAAATATTAGCCACACTCGTNGGCAGGGATCCATGTGTGTGTGTGTGTGTGAGGGGGGTGGGGTGGGGTGGGGTTACAGGACAATGAAATACCATTATTTAGCATTTCTACAGTACTGAACTACAATTGATATGGGTGGGCTTATTAACAGGCATGGGGTTATTCCTGGATATATACAGTAAATTTGGCAAATGTTTTTGGCTGACAATTAATGTTACTTGAAGTGTATAACAAAACAGGGGGGTTGTATAAATAATATGCTTTAACAATGTTTTAAAGACAAGTATATTAAAGCTGATAATGGAATTCGTGGTATATCACACAGGAGATTAGGTAACACAAAGCAGGGCTATTGTGTATAAACCATGTATCTTTAAAGCAAGCTTTGATCAGAAAAACAAGGAAATTCAAAACTGTACATTGCACTTGTAAAATTCAACAATAATATCGATCAAAATATCAAAATAAAGTTGAAAACAAAAAACAAACAACAGTTGTCAAATAAAAATGTGACAGTACAGTTTCCATGTATATTAGATTATTTGTCCACATCTGTGACATTGTCCACATCTGTGACATTGTCCATGTGACATTGTCCATGTGACATTGTCCATGTGACATTGTCCACATCTGTGACATTGTCCACATCTGTAACATTGTCCGCATCTGTGACATTGTCCATGTGACATTGTCCACATCTGTGACATTGTCCACATCTGTGACATTGTCCACATCTGTGACATTGTCCACATCTGTGACATTGTCCATGTGACATTGTCCACATCTGTGACAGTGTCCACATCTGTGACATTGTCCACATCTGTGACATCTGTGACATTGTCCACATAAACATCCTTAATTTTACAAACATTCACCACTAGAGTAGTACTATCTTCACTTTTTACCAAAAAACAACTATTTTGGAAATTTTCAAAATGTGACAAAATCAATATATTATTTAATCAATGGCCATTGGTATTGAAACCATAGAATATGTCACTCACATGCTATTTGATTTTTCATTTGATTTAGAAGTGTGTCTACTCACAATTTCAAAATTAATATACATTTCACACACACACACTTACCGGTATGTTCCTGTAAATAAGCTAATCCTTGGTCCCTTTAGCAGGTTCATATACTCTGCTAGTGCTATGTCACAAAAGTTTTGAAAAAAATTCCTCATGAATTCTAGTTTCTGATGCTTAAACTCGACATTAACAGGCTCACACTAACAAGTATTCTAAAATCGCAATTTATCACACTTTGTTTTCTCAATTTTTGAAATTGTGGGTGACACAACGCATTGATTATCACATTTCCTACAACATTTTACACTGCCAGAAAATTGATAAGTTGTTCTAGAAACAAGAAGGAAATATTGATTATAATTACATTTGTTGATATTTCCTTGTTTAGGATTTACTTTAACTCATTCACCCCTGAAGACACATTTGAACTCTTCCAATTCAAAGGTTGGAATAGTTTATTATGAAATTTCAGGGGGTGAATGAGTAAAAGATAATTTTCTTTAGATTTATTAGTGATTTTCTGAAGAGACTTCCTGAGATGAAGAATGGTACAAAAACTGATCGCATATTTTCTTTATAATCTCTAAACAAAAACCAAATCAGACAAATCAAATGCAAGTCAGATGGCTCTAGTTTGATACAAACACAACATCAGACTAATTTGACATGGACCTGGTACACAATACCAGAAAATGTTTTATACATATATTAATTGTACTTTGGCTTAAGTTTATAATCACAAACAAATGCGTTCTGGTGCATACTTTTGGCTATACAATGCACAAGCAAAGCTAAACCTATCCACACAATCTTCATTTGTTCCTATTACTAGTTCTCATTCTCCTGAGATATTAGGATGCCATCATGGGATTGTATAAACCTCTTACAGCAAAATCTGTCTAGTCTGACCAAAGTTTTATGACATTCTGTCTAACTTACTTAAATTCATTGTATAGTGTTCAGCAGGGTGTCAGATTAGAGCGGTTTTACTGTACCAACATGTGTTGTCTTTTTAATATGGAGCAGACAGAAATAGCCTTCAACAAGCCAGTTTGATTTCTGTGTAATGCTTTTGATGATAAAGGCAAGCCAGTACAAAATGCAACATTTTTTGACAATTTTCAAGGTTAATGTAACATTGAATATAATTACCAAAGTAAGCATTTAGGCTTCTACATTTACACCTTTGATTCCCTATTATCAAATTCTACAAAAGACTCCTCAGATCTGACAGGACTGTATTGGATGGATCCCTTGTTTGGGAGTTCAATGGGAGATTGCTCCGTGGAAGATGCTATGTAAGCCTGGACACTCTCCTCCAAAGTCCTCACGTCCTGAGGAAGCTGTGACTGACTTCCCGAGGAGGCTCCTCTAGGACTCACCTCATTTACCATGTCCACAGAGCCACTGGGAAATGTAGAAACAGAGTCCGGTCCTACAGGATGCATAGAAATGGCGGTAAAACCGATGGAATCCTCGTTGGGTACAGAATTCGGAAGGGACAGAGAAGAGGTTGAGGAAAACATTCGACTGAGCTTTTCTACACTTGATGATAATGATCCTACAGCACTCATTTTTTTGTCTTTTTGTGGTTTCTTTTTTAAAAGAGGTTCTGTATCCTTTTTAGGACTGTCCCTTGTTGGAAAGTCAGCATCGCTTAGTCCAAACTTGACGGATGAGGTAAGTGGGGAAGTGTCTTCCTCCCCAGACTCCTCCAGATCCTCCTCTGTGAAGTGCATCATTGCCTTATGCAAGAGACCAGTTTCAAACTCCATCTGCCTAGCTAGGCTGTCATTGCGTGGCATGGCTTTATCGCTGTCGGGGTCTTTTCCATCCACAGAAGAAGCGTATCGCTGACTCTGACCACTGTACACAGAGTCCTGCTTCACCAAGGACGGACGATATGACCCAACATTAGAATGTTCATGAAATCCTGAAAATGACACATCATCACTGATCTGAACAGACTTTTTTCTTTCGACAGCACTAGATTGGGACTTCCGTCTCACACAATCTGCATTGACTAGTATTGATTTTTTTTTTCTGTCTTCGTAAATGGATTGACCGGACATTTTCCCAATGTCTGTTTCTATGATATCAGTTTCTTCACCACCATTTGCCTTGTGTAGATCATTATCTGGACTAACGTCTCTACTGGAAGACAAAGCGTCCAATTGTTCTTCTTCTAGCGTCAACAATTCTTCCTCTCTATTTCTCATTGAAATAATTGCAGATTTGAAAAGTTGCCAATCCCCAAATTTCATAGTAATGACCTTCCCAAGCTCTCCAAGGTCACATGTTGACAAGACAAGTCCACATACATTGTTGTCATGGATACAGGCCTGATATTGTTCCAACATGGAATGGTTTATTCCTTTGACCTTAGACACAAAATCACAGATTTCCTCCACACTAAGCATGCTTAGCTTTTTCTCCTCAAAGCCCTGAAAGTCAGACAAAAATGAACTGTAAAATGTTATGAACACTGCAGTTTTTAGGTTCTTAATCATGTATAGTATAAGCCTTTAACTGAAAACATTGCTGATAATTTATATCATTAATAAGCCTATTTAACCCAGAAGTTCTCCAATTTCATATCAGTACGAAAAAAACCCAAGTTGTCATGAGAAAACTCTTTGCCACCGATTTTACCAATTAAAACAGTAGCAAAAATAAAGAATATTCACGCCATTTTAAATCATATAAAGAAAAATATCTGAAGACTTGCCTCAACTTTGACTTGTGATGCTGGATCAACACTGTAAGCACTCTGCGAGTTAAAACTATATGGAATGGGATAAGCTTGGGAGTAGGGCATTCCCATGTAGGCCTGAGGATGGTACGTGCCCGGGTAGGGTGGGTAGGGTAGAGGAGCCATAGGCAGGCTTCTATCCATAGAGTAGGACGAGAATCCCGCTCCCTGGTTTCGTGTTGCCTGTCTGCGCTGTAGAAGTTGTGAGTCCTGTCCACGGAGTGGGGCTGCCAACTGCCCAACCATTGGTCCCATCATAGGGCCAGCCATGGGGCCAGGTTTAGGGCTGGCCACAGGGAATGGGTTCCCTTGTCCATACAGATCTGTATTCTTCTGCATCTCTGAAAACGAGATAGTTAGGAAATGATTACCTTCATGTTATTGCAAAGATTTTTACCCCTATACACATTTCTGTATCGCTGTATCTTTTAGGATAAGAATTTAAAAGGCAGCATATACAGACAAGACAAATCTTTGAAGTATATGCACCTATTCCCCAAGATGCGTAAATGTGAAAATGTCTGTACAATTAAAAAATTTAAATCAAGATTATTACATAATTTTGTATCTGTATCATAATTATGAATGTTTTCAAAAACAAGTTTTCCCCTAAAATTGCCAAAAAACATCTGATAATTTCTTCAAGGGCGTACACTTTAATTATTTTTTTTACCAAAAAGCACTGAAAACCTCATTTGCATGAATAGATCACCTCTTATAAGTTTACGAAGATAAGGGTCCAGGTTGATGGCACATGGAAGGAACTTTTTCAGGTCACCAACGTTGAGGATTGGACTACTCCTGGACCCTGTCCTAAGGAAGGTTTCCAATTTACGAACATTGCGGTCAATCTCCAATAGAGGCTCAATATCTCGAGACGACGGCATACTGTCTACAACCCTGCAAAATACAGATACAGATATTGTCTTCCACTCAAGAAAATATCAACAGGTACACTATTCCTACAAGGAGAGTTTACTCGTTCCTCAGAAAAGCAACAGTGGCCTTCAGCTAATAGGCCTGCAACATGATATTGACATTTATTTTAATGATATGACCAATCTTAAAGATCATATTCCGACAACTGCATCAAATTGAATTTTCATTTTATACTACATATCCCATGGTCTTCAATAGGACTGCAATCAGGAAATTCTAGATGTGTGTGGTTCAATTTTGGTTTATTTCAAATTTAATTCACTAATTATACCCTATGTGAAAAACTTGATACATATACCATATATACCATAATAAATCTGATACATATACCATATATACCATAATAAATCTGATACATATACCATATATACCATAATAAATCTGATACATATACCATATATACCATAATAAATCTGATACATATACCATATATACCATAATAAATCTGATACATATACCATATATACCATAATAAATCTGATACATATACCATATATACCATAATAAATCTGATACATATACCATAATAAATCTGAAGTCGATAGAATTGTAGAGTCAATGAATATTCTATTATTCATGCTTCATATCTCAAATCCACAATTAGTGTGGACACTGTTCCCGATATAAATGTCTGGATTCATGAATTTTCAGTTTTTGACCATCTTAACTTCCTTTTTTTGCCATGTATTAGAGTCCAGTATGAAATTTACTGAATATCATTTCAAGTCCGGCATGTTAAGACATTTTGCGTTCATTGATAACCATGCACTATTCAATAATGACAATGCCTGTGCATGTTCCTTTCTGTCCATTAAACCATGTTTGTGCAATGCTGTTCAGGAGGCCTTGCATTGTTACCTGTCGTAAAGTGAGGCCAGTGTTACTGACGAGTCCAGCATTTCATTTTCCTCAAAGTACAGTATGATCCAGGATACCCTGTATGGCCACTGTTCAATCAGATTGATCCAGGCAGCCAGACGATGCCAATTAAAGTCTATATTGTAGGCGCGCAGCAGTCGGCCTACGAACACAGGTACATTCATCCAACTTTATCATTCAAATCACCCAGTTAAGCATTTACTTCTTATTCCTATCTAACAATATCAAAATGTACATTGAATTTCATTTGGTATCTTGAATACTTTATATATGAGGATTTTTTTTATATATTAATTTCAAGATAAAATTATTTTATCTATTTCCATTAAGGATACCAAAAGGGTTGTAGATAACAAGTAACAAATGTCTTAATATATAGTTGACAACTATGACATGGTCAATATAAAAACAATCTTTCAAAAAGTTGAAAATAACTTAAATTTGCAATATTATTCTTGTAAATATCTACAGTAAGGCCTTGTTAATCCAGCCACCACTAATTGAGGTCCGCTATCAAGCCAGAGTTTAAAGAGACAGATTGGGACTTTCTCAACGCAAAATCGTGCAGAGTAATTTAGCTGCCTCACAATACAGTTACTCGTAGAACAATCATCAGTGCATGTACTACAAACAATTATGAGGAGGGTTACAAACCCCAGCCTAGCCGGTTTTATTTATCAAACTTATTATTATTAATCCATTTTGGTTGGGATGATTCTGCTGTAAAGGTAAGATGTAAGGATATAATAAGATGTGATTAAGACCTGTGACTGCCACAATGTTCATGAGGCGCCTCATGCTGCGAGGGTTGATGTCGCTGAAGTAGTCATTCTTGGTCAGCGATTGGCTTATGTCCAGATTAGAGGCATGACTACTGGTATCCCTGCGCTGAGATGATCGTCTTTTACCATCTAAACTGGAGTAGGACGACCACACGGAATCTTGATGCTGGAATGTCTGTAATGTTATGTTGTATCATCAACGTCATATATCTCCTCATTTCATGCCAACATTTTGAACTTTAGAACAGCTTTGTTATTGTTATCGAAAATACATTGTACACAACATTGCAATATCTTTCTCATAGAAGATAATTTAACGTTCATTTCCTCACACAACCACAATTTTCTCATAAAGTGTTCAAAGAAGGATCACTTTTACCCGATCTTATTCCTGGGATAGAAACTTTTCATTAATATTTCATCAGAGAGAGGCCAAATGGTTAGTCTTCAATGCAGATGATTTTGATTTATTCCCTTTTAAATTTAAGAGTCCTATTTTTAGAGAGATCTAGTTATGGCTAGTTACAATAGTGGTGCCTTGATTAGGATTTCAAGCCAAAAATCTTGAAAAAGGGTAAGCTATGGCTACTACAGAGGATGTGTATTTCTAAGCAACATTGAAGATTCAGCAATTAATACATATAATTTTATTCCTAGAGGAGCAACTTCTTCTTTACACTTATAAATCAAACAACTTAATTATCAGCTTATTTTCAGAAGAACATATCACAATAAACTTGTATCTAAAATCATTTTCCTGTAGCCTTTTCCAAAGACAGCTTTACCCTTACCTTATTTCTAGTAGGTGATTCATCCCCGGGGGTGGGGCTTTCTGCCATGTCCTGTTTCTGTATTTTGATGCCCTGACTCTGCAGGTAGAAGGGAAGGTGTACAGAGTTCCTGAGGTAGTCAAACCCATTAACATTAGAATCATGGATGTCGAGCTTCAGGTTGGACTCGATACCCTTTATGATGATGTTAGGATCCACAGCCAGAATGGTAATGAAGGGTGAATCTACGTCTGAGAACAGGGCCTTTATGATGTCTAGCACCTGGCAAAATACAACAGTTCAAATTTCTTTCTTGTTGCTTTGTAAATTTTTTCTTGTAACATCTTGAATTCATTTCTCAAATTTGGCATAAATTACAACTTAAGTAATAGTTAAAGCAATTAAACTTTTTTTTTCTTGATACAACATATATATAGGATCTTACACAATTTTTCATTTCATATGAGATTTATGAAACAAGTCTAAGAATTTTCAATTTAGTGAGCCTCTGGCTAAATCAAGATTTGTGGCATTTATTCGTGTAAAACGGCAATTTTCATGCAACCTTGATATGTAAAAAAACGCCATTTCGACTACAGTGCGTAAGTCTGTGACGTCATTTACTTGTCCTCGGCATGATGTCACAATTGAAACAATTGAAACTTACAACCAATCACAGGGCTGATAGGTCATCTTACAAGGGTTAATACGAAAACAAATATGACATGGGTATATTCACTGGATAACACAGTACATTATGTGATAAAAGTAGATACATTGTATAAGTATTTCTTGTGTGTTATCTGTACAATAGTCTTGTTATTCAGTGATATTTCCAACATCAACAAAGTCAGTCTACTACATGTTTCTAAGGCTACATTCGCGTATCCCGATTGAAACGGTACGTGTGGTGCAGAAATTTTCCACGATAAATGAACACACTTTAATTGGACAGTTCTTTAAGCAGTGCTAAAAATGCACAGTTTCAGAGAATAAAAAAACTATGAATCAAGAATAATATGCCCTTCTTTCATCCATCCACTAAATTACATAACATATCTTAACAAGAGTACTGCGGGGCAGAACAATATACGCCCGTCGAATGTCATATAGTGTTATATACTTTCTTACATTGAAATAAGATCTGCATCATTCTAAGAATGCTATAAAAAATGTAGGAGAAAATCTCTGGACAAAAAATCAAATACTGAAACAAACAAAGGGCAATAACTTTTGCAGAAATTGTAGAATCAGAATTCGTTTAATGGAGACACAACTTCATATCATGGTTATAATGTATACCAAGTTTCAAAGAGATCGGTCGAAAAATGTAGGAGGAGATTGCCGGACAAAAATCAAATACAGAAATAAACAAAGGGCAATAACTTTTGCAAAAATTGTCGAATCAAAATTCGTTTAATGGAGACACAACTTCATATCATGGTTATAATGTATACCAAGATTCAGAGATCGGTGGAAAATTTAGGAGGAGATTGCCGGACAAACAAAAGTTTACGCGGGCCGGCCGGATGGATGGACAACCCCATACCATAATACTCCTGTCAAATTTGATGGGTGTATAAAAACTACATGTGACTTGACATTGTTTAAGAAAGAAATAACGGAAATTGGCAATAGTCAGCATTTTAGTTTCCGTCAGGTACATCTTGACCCCTCAATCTACATGTACCAAAATTTCCTGAGGTCAGCCTCGGTCCAGATCTGTACCTGTCGTTTTCTTTACAGGTTCAACTGGTTCAACCGTTTCAACTGGATAAGCGAATGTACCCTTATTTTCATCTCGATCAAACTTTCATAAATACTTGTGCTATAATTGTATTTTTATCAAAAATATATTTTGCAGAAGTAGAAATGTTTGCCTCTGGAAATTCTTGTGTTGTGACTCTTCAAAGTGATGGTGGTGAAGGAAATTTCGCTGTAACCAGTATCATATCTGTAACTTCACATGATTAACTGTGGACTGAAGGCTGTAGCCTATATCTAACCTGTAAGACTTTGTCCTGTTCACAACTGTCCAGCCCGTCCACGATGACCACCAGGCGAGTCTGGCTGCTTGTGAACTTATCCATGCAGGTCACCATTCTTGTCATCAGCACCACCTCATACTTCAGCTTCTGCATCAGGCCGTCCATCTTGATGACGTCAATCTTGTCTGCGGCTTGGTTAATCCTGGACTGCTGTGAGCGGAGCAAGGCCAACAGAGCTTTGCCCCAGGTGAAGGCATTGCTGATGATGGACAAGCCAACAATAGAGGCAAACGTTATCATGGCTGCATTGACAGACACCGTGTTGTCATCATCGATTCCGTTAGTGACCACCAGCGTGACGCCTACGCCTATACACAGCATCACGATGATAACAATCAGGAAGTACGGGATACAACACAGGGACTTAAACCTCCCCCTGTATATCTCTGTCAAACAAACAGAACTGTTGTTACAACATCATCCAAAGGATTACATCATTAATACAGTTATACATCCTATTACGTCTTTATCAACAATATTCAGAAATTTTGGTTTGATTTTCAATGTTTTCATAGAATAACATCTAAGAGATTGGACAGAGGTCCAGAACACTTTATTGGACCGAAGTCTCAGTCCAGAAAACATATAGACAAATATGCTTGTAGTTGCAGGTTCAACTGCCATCCGATCAACTTTTCCTTTATCTCTCAAGACAACATTTTCATAATAATATATTTCAAAGATATTGTACTTCAGAAGTATATCAGGAAACTTTAGGTAATCTATCAGTATGTGATAAGGGAGATACCTTTACACATTTACCAGTCACTACTATACAAATGTCTATAAATGAAGAGACAAACTGTTACACATACTCCCAGTGCTTGGTTTGAACACCCTGAAGAGCCTTGCTACTAGTACTCCATATTCCTGTTCCAGAACATCTCCCAAGGTCCCTACCATGGCTGCCAGTGACTTCTCTCCTCCCACACTCACCAGACGGGTACTCTCGGAAAACAGGAATCTGTGCACATACAACAACATTCAAGGTCAAATAGAAGGATACATTTCTGTGTCCTGTGTACACAGAACAAGTGTCACGGTCGAATATTTCAAGGTCATATTGAAGGCTTTGTCCTGTGAACACAGACCAAATCTTAAGGTCAAGTATCTCAAGGTCATATATGAGGCTTTGTTCATGTATACACAACAACTTTCAAGGTCATGTAGAAAGCAATATTGGTAATTAATGTTAGCTGGTTGAGTGGCGAGACTTACTTGACTGAGTGACCATCATTGATCTGCTGGGGCCACTGTGCAGGGTTACAGAAAAACACCTTTAACAGCAGCTTGAGTAATAACATCTTCCTCCCCAAAGAAAGACTGATCGACACTGCAATGCGCACTTCATACTTCTGGGCAAGGTGGTACTCCAGACCTACAGCAAAACAAAGACATAGTTCATACACCAGGGCTACAATAAAACAACACACAGTTCATACTTAGACAAGATGGTACAGCCAAACATAACAGATAGACAGGACAAATATATGACATGGACAAACAAAACAGTCCGAGACTAGTATGACTATTAGGAAAAGTTACCAAAATGCAGGTATTCAAAATAAGCCCACACCACCAACCCACATATACACACACCTAAACAAAGGTACTCGTGCTCAACTTAAGGTTGACTCATCAGCATATTCAATAAGAAACACTTGTTAGATAAATGTACTTACCCAGACAAACGTACTCAAAAGGAAACAAGCCGAGGCCAACTCCAAGGCCGTACTGCCAGCCCCAGATGAGGGCCATGGTGACACCCACGACATTATTAAAGATGAGGAGAACAAAGAACAAGGCCCAACAGAATGGAGTGAAGTGTTCCTCTACACTCTCCTTTGTGAATGACTTCATCTCATCTGCAACACAAAACATGTTACATTATCAACTGCACTCTTTGTAGAACACAATGTCTGGTCAAATGATATGTTTGGTCACATGAAATGTCTAGTCATATAAAATAGTTGATGAACTAGTACAAAATAACACTGTTGTGAAGTACCTGTTCTTTAAAGAGAATAACAATGTCATGTTTGAATCTTTTTGTTCTGCAGACTACATGCTACTTTACACATGATACATGTGTTAGTGTTATATCTGATTACCTTGGCACCCTGTGATAGTTTGAATTCTTAAGTATAAGCATTGAAGACATACCTGTGTACCCGGCCCGCTTTGGTTACACACGAAGGAAGGGCTCACTGTACTTACTTTGTAACTTGCTGAGGAGAAAGGACTTTCCACTGCCCCACTTGGCATACAGGCCAACAGTAATAGGTGTGTTGAGGGAGGGGTCACTAAGTATGTCGGCCAGGGCACTGGTGTAGATATTGTATCCCAACAGGTTTTCACCATCATTAGCATTCAGGTTCCCTAAGAAAGTTGCCAATTGTATAGTTTTAGCATAAATCCTATTTCATTGATGTTGATATAAATGTAATCAGAATACAGTTCCTAACCTAATTTTATACTTCAAAGGTGTCTAGTTAGAGGTAAGAATATTTTACTCTTTCATGCAGAGATGCTAAAAAAAGAACAAAATATATTCAAATTTCTCCAACAGTGTCACTAAACAATAACCTTTTTCTGTCAATGTTTTTCATGGACAAAGGATATAAATTTAAGTACCCAGGTAGTTAATTTTAATCATTACAAGCCTTTATATAATGTTATCTTTTCATACAATGCTGTTAGTAGACTACATATCACTAACATATGAGGCTACATTGTATTTCTTTAATAAACTACAATCCTTCATTGTATTAGTAACTGTACATACAATACTACAATGTATAACTAAGATGTACATACAATACTACAATGTATAATGCTAGCTACAATTTTTAGCAAATTGTACATACGATGTCCAAAGATCTGGGTGAGGATGCTCTTCTGGTGGTAAGCATCAATGTTGTAGGGCGTGTCTCCAGCTTTATTGGAGCGGTACAACAGGCGACCATTCCGAGGATTCCTCAACAACAGCTCGGTTATACGTTTACTCCTGGCTCGAAGGGAGATGTGCAGTGCATTGTCACTCCTCTAAAAAACATTAAAATAAGTTTGTTACTAAATATTTTGATACCAACAATTTGACAGTTTTTTCCAGAATTTCACCATAACTTCAATCTGGAATCTTCTTCATCCTGTGGGTTGTTTCCTGCAAATTTATCTGTCTTTTTTAGAAAATATATCTTACCAAAGTCCAGAAACAATTTTCATAAAAGTCACTGTGACCCTTAACCCTGAAACCTACATGGTTCCTTTTCATCTCATTGACAGATACCCTGTGAAGTTTGAAGAACCCCCTCCCTAACCCCCGAAGTTATGTTCAACAAACTCCTGTGTGGACAGAAAAGAAAGCCTATGTGCTATCTATGATGTGTAAGTTACCTTGTCAACAGCAGACACTTTGGCACCCTTGTCCAGAAGGAGACGGACACACTGTTCAGTTCTGTTCCTCACTGCCCGCATCAGTGGTGTGTCCTCATCCTATAAAAAAGTAGGGTATTAATTATAAAGACCCAGAGATTTCTATATTGTAGGGTATTAATTATAAAGACCCAGAGATTTCTATATTAATAGAACCACCAAGAGAGAGAAAAGATAGATGGTATTTGACTGAAAACAGTTATTTATTTAATCACATTTTCAAAACTAAAACTACATTTTGTTTAAAAAAATCACATGCTCAAGGAAATGATGGACACAATTCGACTTAGTTTTGACATGTAATTCATCCAATTGCTGTTGGAGTGTCTTGTTCAGGTAACATGGACATATATTAAGTAATAATGATTATAATAATGTGGATGCAAAGTTGTTCAAATACTCCAAAATAAGCTCTTGTTTTAGATTATCTGAATAGAATATATATACATTTTTACCACATTTCATTTCAATCTAATTTACATTCAGCTTCAATAAAATCACCTTTGTACTAATTTCCAGGTCAGGATTGTTATCGAGCAGTGACCTCAGGATGTCTACATGACCTTTCTCTACTGCCCAATAGGTAGCCGTCTTTCCCTCCTACAAACAAATAATTCAACATCAGGACCATCAGTACCTTCACAAAAGCACTCTATGAATGTGCATACAGTGTGGGATGCAGTCATGCAATCATTATATTATAATTACCCAAAGTTCAAACACACGAGTTTTTAAGAGGTGCCATTCATCAATAATGGCTGAATCAAATTTCAGCATGGACCAGTCAACTGATTCATCTTTAAAGTGTGTTAAAGGAGAAATAGCCAAGGAATAATGACAGTTACATACCGCACCCTGGACATCCACGTCAGCATACTTGTTTAACAGGGCCCGCGTAATCTCAACATGGCCACTCTTTACTGCATGGATCAGGATTGTGTCTCCAGCCTGTGATATAGCCCAGTTTAACAATAAATGATGGAAAAGTTTTGTGAAAAAGCAACCTGGAGAATCATAACATTATCATTGTTCAATCAACAGATAGTATGCATTAAACGGAGACAGTCATAAACTGAGGTGAAGATTGTTCGGGGTTAATTTCACATACATCTGGGTATCATGTATTGTATCAAGCATTGAAACATTGTGCTGACACACTTTGTTAACTCAAATAAGTCCTATGACAATCAACTGCATTGTCTTAATTCTATTTTTAAAATAACATATGTTTAAAATCACATCAAACATTGTTGTCTAAAGAAAAATTAAAAATAATGCACACAGATAAAGGATGAGTGTCTACAAGGCCCTTTTTTGGGCCCCGGTATATTCTGATTTTCACCTCCTTATTTTGTTCAAAGATGTCCTATTGTAGGATATGCGGAAAAACTAAGGTAGAACTTTGACCGAAAGTGGGTTTCTGGGGGTACCAAAAGGACCTTGTAGACCCTCATCTTTTGAAACCGGTGGAACGTTATTAACAGCAACTTTGTTCTTTTTCTATCGATCCCCACTCACTCTGTCAGCGATGTTGACATAAGCCCCCTTGGCCAGCAAGTCATGTGCTATCTCTATGTAGCCCTCCTTGGCTGCTATGGTCAGAGCAGAGAAACCATCCTTAAAACAAAGGAGATTAATATACATGTAGTTGAATTCCTATATAATCTTGTATGTTTGATAAACACATCATAATGTATTAAAAGGATGAATTGCATGCAATTAACAATCTCATTAATGTTAAAAGATCTTGATTATTAAATTATACATGTATAACAGTAATTTTAAATTTCAAGTGATAATCATTTTATATTGTGCTTATGTATCAGTATTCCTAAATGCTAAATATTCTCACAAAAAACCCCTTAAGTTGCAGTCTGTTTTGTTTTTTAGATTTATAGAAATATATGCTCAATAATATTCAGATTAATTAAGACAATTTCATTACGACTTTCGAAATTACCTTATCAACAGCATTGATATTTGGATCATACTCCAGGATCTGGCTGACAACCTCAGAATTACCGTACTTTGTTGCCACCAGCAAAGCGGTCCAGGAATTCTGTCAATGAGATGTACCATGTGTTAAATATCTTTATATTTACATTCTGTATGCTCGGATCCATTGACGAAAATGACATTCATTTTTGCATAACACAAGTGACCTCATCACTGCGTATTGATACACTAAAGTGACGTACACATGACGTACCTGGTTCACGTCCGCCATGGAACAGCCCTGGATGTAGTTTTGATATGCTACTATGAATTAATATTAAACATGATTGACTTGATTTTAATGCTTAAATTAAGTGTGTAAAGAGCATGATAATAATATACCAATTGTATAAATTCTACAAATTAAATTTGAAAAAGTAACTATATTTTGTTTGTTTTGTTGTCATGCTGTTGCTAGGACCAAGAGAAGTTTTACATTTTCCAGCGAAAACAAGCTGTTCTCTCTACTGCATGGCCCCCACGTATAAACAGAAAACAATACATGTATTTGTTTTATCTATGCTTGCATTGGAATATTTAAAGCGATTAAAAATCTAAATATAAGGAATGATATTATTTCTTTCAACATTCATGAGGTCATAACAACATTAGCTCTGGACATATGTACCTTGTATCACATTTCATTCCTAAAGTATCGCCGACTCTACTAGTGTTTCAGAGGTCTGAATTTTGTTGATACCAAAATAGATCACATGATCTATTTTAGGATCCCCCAGGTAAGAACATAGATACCACATAACTTAACCATGAATACCTCTCTGTCCAGACTTCAGTTTCACATCTTAAAGCATTGTCAATAAATTCAATTTCTCTGTAGGGAAATCCTTTCCTAATTTTGTAATTAAACATGTTTAATGGAGATGCTCTTTCAGATGACGGAACTACCATTGGTAGTGTCAGTGATATTCGAACCAGCCACACAAATATGCATAGATTTCTCTCCCTAGCCATGATGCTGACCTCGAAGCCTGTACTACAATGTCTAAAGCCAGTCCTTACCATGCCTGTCGTGTCCACGTTGGCTCCCTCTTGAAGCAGTGCCTCAACAATCTCTAGATATCCTTTCCTAGCGGCCCAGATCAGAGGAGTCGTCCCGTACTGTGAAATATCACCATACATGAAAATATTGTTACCAAGTTGTTTTTTCCATAAATATTGCAATAAACAGAGAACTGATATAACTGTCAATATCATTTAAATTTCTTTCTTTTTTCTTGGAAACCCTGGTTATTTACAATATGGATAAATAAACAGAAAGATTTCTCATATTTATATTAATAAAAACAACATTTACTTAGTTTTCTAAATTTTCAAAAATGTCATGTGAAAATAAAATTTTACGTATACATCTTTTAAAAAAAGTTTACTGGTAACAGATTTCAAATTTTGCAATCTTTAAATATGACCTATTTTTGCGGATATTGCATCTGCTCTATTCATATTGATAATATTTTCACAATTATATCTATGTCCTGTGAATCCCACAGAATAATTAGCATTGCAGTATACAATCCACACTAAATGTCTCTATTTTGTCCCATTTTGAATCAAGTCCTGACCTTGTCTGACATGTTGACCTTGGCCCCATGCTTTAACAGCTCCTTTACAATCTGAGTGTGGCCTCGACCGGCAGCCCAAGCCAGACACGTCATGTTGAACTAGAAATAGAACCAAAGACATCTCTCCTCTATATAATAGTTGAAAATCTTCCACAAGTGTTTAAGAGATCAAATTCAATAGCAAGACTTTAATGTTTCAATTCCTGTTTCCTTTCATTCATTGCTGACATAGTTTTTCCTCAGTTGCTCATTCAATCTCAACACAATGAGATCTTAACAAGGACATGTTCATACTATTAGGTAATATATAAATAGATAATAAAAAAAAGGATTAAATGTCCATGTGAAGTAAATAAATATAGAAAAAATAAGATCTAACGACCGACTAAAAACCTAGCTGCTTTCACCCTTCACAGGGCTCTTCAGGTTTTCCTGAATATACATAGGTATTTATATTGGATACCTAGATAACTGTAATGTTGTCACTATGGTGAAATACATGTATATATTGGAAACCTATTTAACCATAATGTTGTTTATTAGGCTACATCTAATGATCTTCCTTACTAATAATAAAATGAACAAACACAAGATACATTGCTCCCTAAAGTCCTCTTTAAAATCAGCAGTTACAGCGGTTAGTGTTTTAATTTAAATTCTACACAACTAGTATCATTAACAAAACTTTACAAAAACAGAATGGTCAACTGAACACAAAATTACGATAATCCTTACAACACAAGATAAATGTAAGAATGGAGCACAATTTGTCACCTACCTCAGCCTTGCTATTGCAGTTAGCTCCCCTGTCCAGTAGCTCACTGACCACTTCCTCCCTGCCTTTGTAACACGCACACATCAGGGCTGTCCATCCCATCTAACAACGACAGGTCAACAATTAGTTCAGAGGTAACCCTGCTAATATACTTCTTCTTGGATATACCATGAAAATATGTAATTCTTGAAATGGAATTATTTAACCAGAAAATTCTCCTTTAGAAACTCAAAGCAATAATGTATCAGCAGGTAAGGTACATTTTTTTTCTTATTTTCTATTCCTGTTTATTGTATAAAGGGATTCCTAGTACATTCCCCAAATGTACTCTTTCCATGTTGTTGACATCGTTACTAACCATATTTCTGTGTTCAATGTTAACATCCTCACTTACCATATTTCTGTGTTCAATGTTGACATCCTTACTTACCATATTTCTGTGTTCAATGTTGACATCCTTACTTACCATATTTCCATGTTCAATGTTGATATCCTTACTTACCATATTTCTGTGCTCATTGTTTACATCCTTACTGGCCATATATCTGTGTTCATTGTTTACATCCTTACTGGCCATATTTCTGTGTTCATTGTTGACATCCTTACTTACCATATTTCTGTGTTCAATGTTGATATCCTTACTTACCATATTTCCATGTTCAATGTTGACATCCTTACCATATTTCCATGTTCAATGTTGACATCCTTACCATATTTCTGTGCTCATTGTTGACATCCTTACCATATTTCTGTGTTCAATGTTGACATCCTTACTTACCATATTTCTGTGTTCAATGTTGACATCCTTACTTACCATATTTCTGTTGATAATGTTGACATCCTTACTTACCATATTTCTGTGTTCAATGTTGACATACTTACTTACCATATTTCTGTGTTCAATGTTGATATCCTTACTTACCATATTTCCATGTTCAATGTTGACATGTTCACAGTAAACTTACCATGTCTCTATGCTCAATGTCGGCCTCCTTCTCACAAAGTTCGATCACAATTTCCAAGTGTCCCCCTTTGGTAGCACACATCAAGGCACTCCAGTTGTCCTTCAAAAAATAACATAATCATATTTACATAAACAAGTTGTTACCAGAGTATCAAGCATTACACAGCAGACTGACCTACCATGCCCTTGGCACGGACTGACCAAAATGTTGATGTGAATAATTTCCCCATACATTTGCCTGCCTTTAGAAGTAATGAGGTTAACTTGACAAACATAGTTAAAGTTACTGAAAAACAAATGTACTGATCATACCTCGAAAATTTAGAATCATCAAATAGCTGTATGGCTAATATTCCAAAATTATTGAATGTATAACACTATTTTGAACCTACACTTTAAAGGCAAGCTACAAAGGTCCCAATTGTTTATTTCTAATTTAAATGTCTCATCCCCTAAATCAGAGGAACAGGGTGTACGCATGGAGTTAGATAGATGGAATTCTATATGTCAGGTCTAGGTCAAGGTCACATATCTATTACCTTTATATATTGAACAGCCCACTATCTGACGATGGGGGAGTAAAAAGATAGACCAGTTCTACTTACATTGTCTACAGCATTGGTGTCGACATACTCCAGCAGCTCCCTGACAATGTTCAATTCTCCCGTCTCTGAAGCCAGCATCAGGAAAGTCTTCCCATTCTACAAAGATCACCCAAACACACCCTTCATTAGAACGAGCATTACAAAGATCACCCATAAACACCCTTCATTAGAACGAGCATTACAAAGATCACCCATTAACACCCTTCATTAGAACAAGCATTACAAAGATCACCCATTAACACCCTTCATTAGAACGAGCATTACAAAGATCACCCATTAACACCCTTCATTAGAACGAGCATTACAAAGATCACCCATTAACACCCTTCATTAGAACGAGCATTACAAAGATCACCCATTAACACCCTTCATTAGAACGAGCATTACAAAGATCACCCATTAACACCCTTCATTAGAACGAGCATTACAAAGATCACCCATTAACACCCTTCATTAGAACGAGCATTACAAAGATCACCCATTAACACCCTTCATTAGAACGAGCATTACAAAGATCACCCATTAACACCCTTCATTAGAACGAGCATTACAAAGATCACCCATTAACACCCTTCATTAGAACGAGCATTACAAAGATCACCCATTAACACCCTTCATTAGAACGAGCATTACAAAGATCACCCATTAACACCCTTCATTAGAACGAGCATTACAAAGATCACCCATTAACACCCTTCATTAGAACGAGCATTACAAAGATCACCCATTAACACCCTTCATTAGAACGAGCATTACAAAGATCACCCATTAACACCCTTCATTAGAACGAGCATTACAAAGATCACCCATTAACACCCTTCATTAGAACGAGCATTACAAAGATCACCCATTAACACCCTTCATTAGAACGAGCATTACAAAGATCACCCATTAACACCCTTCATTAGAACGAGCATTACAAAGATCACCCATTAACACCCTTCATTAGAACGAGCATTACAAAGATCACCCATTAACACCCTTCATTAGAACGAGCATTACAAAGATCACCCATTAACACCCTTCATTAGAACGAGCATTACAAAGATCACCCATAAACACCCTTCATTAGAACGAGCATTACAAAGATCACCCATTAACACCCTTCATTAGAACGAGCATTACAAAGATCACCCATTAACACCCTTCATTAGAACGAGCATTACAAAGATCACCCATTAACACCCTTCATTAGAACGAGCATTACAAAGATCACCCATAAACACCCTTCATTAGAACGAGCATTACAAAGATCACCCATAAACACCCTTCATTAGAACGAGCATTACAAAGATCACCCATAAACACCCTTCATTAGAACGAGCATTACAAAGATCACCCATAAACACCCTTCATTAGAACGAGCATTACAAAGATCACCCATAAACACCCTTCATTAGAACGAGCATTACAAAGATCACCCATAAACACCCTTCATTAGAACGAGCATTACAAAGATCACCCATAAACACCCTTCATTAGAACGAGCATTACAAAGATCACCCATTAACACCCTTCATTAGAACGAGCATTACAAAGATCACCCATAAACACCCTTCATTAGAACGAGCATTACAAAGATCACCCATAAACACCCTTCATTAGAACGAACATTACAAAGATCACCCATAAACACCCTTCATTAGAACGAACATTACAAAGATCACCCATTAACACCCTTCATTAGAACGAACATTACAAAGATCACCCATAAACACCCTTCATTAGAACGAACATTACAAAGATCACCCATAAACACCCTTCATTAGAACAAACATTACAAAGATCACCCATTAACACCCTTCATTAGAATGAACATTACAAAGATCACCCATAAACACCCTTCATTAGAACGAACATTACAAAGATCACCCATAAACACCCTTCATTAGAATGAACATAACTATAAAACCGAAATATGTATCAAAAGTTATTTTGTGAAGCAGTTGTGTCAGATTTATATGTACATTTAGTAATGTACTTTAAAACTGATTTTTTTTTACACGTTGGGTGATACTGCTTACAAACTAGAACACTGACAGGTCAGTAAGGGCCCCGTCTTGTGGCAATTATATCCCCCATAATCATCAAAGAAGCAATCTGCCCATATAGCTGAGCTTGACGTTTGACATTTGGACTTCAAAAAGAATCCCAAGGAAGCAAAATATACATTTTACATGTACTATGATGTGATGTGTTTCCTTCCACCTCCATATTTGCTGGGCTAACAGAAATGTAATTACCGGTGCAATACTCATTTGTTAGCTTTGATTTGTTTTATTTCACCTTATATACCTTTCCATCAAGAGCCAGGGTCAAAGTCAGAGATCCACTTTGTCTTTGACCTTTGGACCCAAATGACCTTGACCATTAACCCAGTGACCCTGACCTTTGGTCAGTTGACTTATTCTTTAATTCCGACCAACTTTGCTTCTTAATATCATAACAAAATGTTCATCAGTGAAAAATACAAAACTTGACCTTGACCCTTTGGACCCAGTAACCTGGAACTAAGGTCAGTTGACTCTGTGTTAAGTTCTGAACAACATTGCTTCATAATGTCATATCAAAATGTTCATCAGGGAAAAGGTACAAAATTTTAACCTTGACCAAGTGACCTTGACCTTTGGTCAATTGACTCCTTGTTTAATTCTGAGCAACATTGCTCCAAAGTGTCATAGCGAAATGTTCACCAGTGAAAAGATACAAAATTTAACCTTGACCTTTGGTCAGTGGACTCGTTGTTTAATTCTGATCAACTTTGCTTTATCATGTCATAACAAAATGTTCATCAGTGAAAAGATGCAAAATTTGACCTTGACCTTTGAATCTCATGACCTTGACCTTTGACCTGAACTTTTTACCTCAGTGTGTCTCTTTGTTTAATTCCGAACAAGTTTGCTTCATAATGTCATAGCGAAATGTTCACTAGTGAAAAGCTACAAAATTTGACCTTGACCCCTGACCCGATGACCTTGACCTTTGGTCAGTTGACTCCTTGTTTCATTCTGATCAACTTTGCTTCATAATATCTTTAACCTTTGAACCTAATGACCTTGACTTTTTACCTCAATGTGTATTTTTATAAACTGAACATCTTGACCAAGTTTTATGTACATCGGTTAATAAATACCGAAGTTATCAGCCAGGAACAAAATTTGTGGACGGGCGGACAGACAGACAGACAGACAGACAGGCAGACAGAGTTTTTACTATAGGGCACCCGTATCTCCAATACGGGGCCCTAATTAGTATAAATCCTTCAATTTCATCCTCGTGTATAGGTAGCAAAAATCAATAAAAATTATATGTCATTATAAGAAAAAGAAACATGCTTTATATAGTAGAATTTTGAGTACATTTATATATTTTCACTAGCAATTTTTTTGACTTAGCTATTCATGCAAATAAGAATTGCCAGTAAGAACATCACTTATATTATACCTGAACACATTTTTTTATACCCTACGATCATTACAGATGCAGGTTGATATATGTATAATACCAGGATGTTATACATGTACAAGTTTTTTATGTTACTTTTCTATAGGAAATTGTTAATACACCTGTAAAATGTTGCCTATAGAAGTAGATTTTGCACGTTTACCTCATCTCTCTCTATTTCTCACAGGTCATTAAAGGAAGTTGACACTTCAACTATCTAACATTACCTCTCTTCAGGGTTTGTGGTATTATTTTCATGGAGATTGGTGTTTTACCTGTACATAAATATAATGCTGTTTTTGCGCTCACAAGTCATCAGGATGTTTACACCTGTATGATATTACCTGTACAATTATTACTTTACCTCGTCTCTCTCCTCCGGGTTGATGGTACCATTCTCTAGGAGGTTGATGGTATTTGTTAGGTCACCCTTATTTATACTGTCCCAAAGAAGCTGCGCCTTGAAAGTGCCCATCTTTTATACTGATGTTGTTGATTCCCCTCACACAGATGAGTCACTTTTGTCTATCTGCTACGTCCAATCCATCACAATTTCTCGCCTAAAAAAAAAATGTGAATAATTCTCACTATGCACGTAATCATACACAAGTGTGATCTGGAGAAGAACCCTGTGTCTGTGCTGTGTTCTTACATAACACATGTACATATATAAGAGCAATTCCTGTGGATTTGATTCTGTATCAGTAGGTATCCAGTGTAGTACATCTGAAGGTCTACACTCGTTGGCCAGCTGGCCTATGTTATGGTGAAGAGACTCCAGCCAGACACCAAAACACAATCACAAGCATATACCAGGTGCAATCTTACAACTACATATGAACTATTTCATCAAAAATTAATCTCTCAAGTGATGTAATATTTTTTGTGCAATTTATCTACAGCATTGCACAGCTTGGCAATAGAGAAATGATATTAATTATTTAAATTATTTACCGGGTGATATTAATGACATCCTTAGTAAGTTATTACTGTATACATAACAATAAAAATAATATGTAGCCTACACATATATTAAATAAATCAGCAATGTCTACCTGTATAATACATATACTGTATATATACTCAGCAGAATGTGCTTCCTAAACCTTGTAAACGTGTCCATTATGCATATATTTACAGTGAGGACAATACTCAGAAATACCTGAACATCATTTAATGTGTTTCTCAGTCAGTTACAAGTGCTGTGAGAATAGCTTGGTTAGAACTTATATAGGAATGAACATTTATACACTAGTTTGTTAGTTATGTTGTTTTCTTGTTGAAAGTTAATGACAAAAAATTTACAATAATTGAGCTATTGCATATATATAACATATACAAAAGTGAAAAAAAGGTAAAAATTAAGTCATTTTACTTCAATTTTAAGGCAATTTAGTCCTCCGTGTCAGATCTCAATTAGTGAGTGTCAATTATAACTAGGGTAATCCCTCCTGAATGTGATCAACATCAACCAGAATGTGAGGGATCAGTTGATACTGCTGAAAATACACGAGACCCCATATAACTAACAGCTACAACTGTTATATATAACTAGCATTATTAAGAGATCACCACTAACAGGGTTACAAGTATTGCCTTCCTGTCAGTTGACCGTGGTAATATGTGTCAGCATGCTCCAATGGCCTTTAATTTACATCACATTACCAAAGGTCAGAGTACACTATAGTGTACATAAACTTGTCAATTCAATATTGTTTTAAGTACTAGTACACACTTTTAGAGCATAAACATATTCAAACAATAGAATTAGAATTCTAATACAAACCTATTTTGACTATAATATCATCTGCTCAACTTAGCCCTCACCATTTAAGCAAACAAATTGACAATCAGTGTGTAGCTGAAGGAAAGACTAATCTGAATTCCTCGTACAAATATATACTGGAATATGTCTGCTGAAGTTAACAAGACAGCTTGAAAGATGAAATGAAAACAGGGCGAAAAGGTCATCTTCAGTGTGAAAAATATATTCAAATTGCTGGTGACATACATGAGATTGAGAAAAAAAAAGACGCCCAAGGGCCTAAGCAGTCACCTGAGTTATATCATAAGAACTGGTAGCTTTAGTTTATTGTTTAGATGTGATGTGGAAATCATCAAAGGATAAGAATTTGAAAATATTGGTTAATGTTCCCTTTGAGGCCCTGCCCTAGCCCCCCGGGATCGGGCAGAAATCCTAATTTTACAATGGAATACCCTCATTCAGCAAAGATGATTCTGACTAAGTTTGAGTAATTTTCTGCTGAAAATGGATAAAATATACCCAAAAGTGTTATCTCCCTATATAAACTATAGTAAACTATACCCCCTCCCCAAGTACCTCCGAGTCTGGAGAAGAAGATTTTTGAAATATTGGTTAATTTTCCGTTTGGAGCCCCGCCCTGGCCCCAGGGGTTGGGGTAGGAATCCCATTTTTACAATTATGTAGCCACATCAACCAAGGATGATTCTGACCAAGTTTGAAAAAAATCAATCCACTGGTTCTCGAGAAGAAGTTGAAAATTTAAAAAAGTTTACGCACGACGACGGACGGAAAGCGATTAGAATAGGTCACCTAAAAAGACATATAAATTTAGGGAAAGTATGGCACACTAATGTTGTTAGAAATGTGCACACATGCAAATTGAATGCTTCAAAATGACAGTACAAATTTATTGATATTTTTTCGGTTATTTGTTCCAAAATCATTTAGAAGAAATTGCAAACAAAATATAACAGTTTATGTATTAAATTTGATAATTAAAGACATGTTTAGTAACAGTGACCTTGACTATACTGACAAATCATGTCTAAAATCTTCCTTAGCAAATTCGTTTTCAGAGTGATAGTAACAGTTTGTCCCAGAGGTAGACATTATTTATCAGCTTCCATTGATAGCAAAGCTGCATTTGAAACATTACTTAATATTTTGTATATGCAGGTCATCTGATTGAATGGTGCTATAAGAAAATAAAACACATTGGACTTCATGAATTGTAATGAGACTAAATGTAACTAATGTAAGTACAAAATTGATAAAAAAAACTAAAAAAAATACAAGAATATTCTTGTACAAAATTATCAAAGTGCACTCAACATACAAGATATATGGAACTTAATTTATAACCATCAAGAACCATACCTGATAGCAAATATACGTTACCAATATCTTCTGACAGCCATATATTTGACACAGTGCATGAAGACCTGCATGCATACAGTTTTCTATACAGCAGCAGGGGAATGGCATTGTAACATCACGACCAACAGATCGTGCATATACATATTACACGCTATTCAGTCACGTCTTGAACTATATAAATGTACCTACCTGTACAAAATGTATAATCTCCTTCACTGTCATTAGTGCAGAACTTTATAAAACAAAAAACATCACGCAGCTACATTTTGTAAGTGATCCTACAATACACACTGTACGTATACATTCAATTGTCTTTAGGCAACGTCTCTATCCACTGTCCACAGGAGGTACATTTGTACCTGTAACTTAGGCAACGTCTCTATCCACTGTCCACAGGAGGTACATTTGTACCTGTAACTATAGTCCCTGTTATAACCTCACCGACCCAGCTGTTACCCAGACACTACAGTAGGTAGGGATATCCTCCATCAGTACTAGGTAACAGCACAACCTCCTATCTTTTTGAAAGCCACACGATCAGCTGTTGTCACTTATAGGCCAGTATACAGATCCTGTTACATATGATTGTCAGGTACATGGAAATCTAGTCTGGCCCAACAGTTGTTTATTAATAAATTCCCACTATCATTATTATTAAGCCTTTTAACATGTGTTTTGATTCTTGTGCACTAAAAGTTGATACATAGCATACACAGACCATGCATTTTGTAGCACTCTCATTGTGATTTGAAATACTTCAATATCCCATCCTATCACGGTAAAGCTAACCAGCATACTAAAGTTAACCAGCGCCACCTGATAAGTCTTTTTGTGATAGGACATTTCTATTATTACATCCCAGGGTTGTCAAGAGTTAAATGAGGTCCTGTTACAATTTTGATATGTGTACATCTAGTTAAGTTATTCAAGAAAAAGAGGTCATGTTTCCAATAAATCGAGTTAATCCCTACTCAACTTGTGGATTTATTCCAGCATAAAGGTCCTGTTTCAATATATCCCTGCATGTACATTCTGTAAAGTTACTGAGCCATGTATTCTAAGCTGGGGTAAAACTTAAAATAAATTGCCAGCTCAAAACTGTTTACATTTTTCTTTATTCGACACATGACATCAAACAATAAAGCTTACTGAAAAGCTTCAATCCTAAAATTAAGTTTCATAATTATGCAATGTTAAACAAAATGGATGCTCTCATTATCACATATATGCAGTTCTGGGTTGTTGGGTGGTTTAGTTTAAACATATCTTATTGACATATAATATGACAATAGGATCAGTCGGTAAGTTTTTACAACTTATAGATGACTTCTCCAAACATACATAACATATTTACAATTGAGGTCACGTGATGGCATGAAAGATAATATACATTAAGAAACAAACAAATTGATAAAACATATCACAGTGGTCGGGTGGTGCAGTGGATAGCGCACATGCCTTTCACCAAGGCGCCCAGGGTTCAATTCCCCGATCAGATGTAAATCAAAGTGCCGAGAGTACTCAGGGATGCTGTGTATGGAGGATTCAAATAATGGAATAAAGGAGGTGATATATCAGTACAGAATGCATATGGCAGTAAATAATAAAGAACATGTTGTTGAGTAAGAGTCATAATAGCCCATCCCTTAATCATAATTTTCAATAACAAGAGGCCCATGGGCCTAAACGGTCACCTGAGTCTACAGTATTTATTTTTGTTGTTGAAATATGTACCAATTTGAGTAAAAAATAGTATAATGTTAACTTAACTTTGTCAGGACCATGAGCTGATCATTCCTAGACCAATTTTAAGTGAGATCGGCCTATTAGAACTTAGTAGCAAAATAGCGGCCATGGCAGTCAAATTGTATTTCTGATTGACCCGAAAAATAACAACACTTTGTCAGGACCATGAGTCAATCATTCCTAAAAAGTTTCAGTTCAATTGGTCCAGCAGAACTTTACTTTAAGTTTGAAATATGTTTTCAAAATGGTGGCCGTGGCGGCCATATTGGATTTATGATTGACCTGAAAAATAACAACACTTTGTCAGGACCATGAGTCGATCATTCCTACAAACTTTAAGTTCAATCGGTCCAGCAGAACTTGACTTTAAGTTTGAAATAGGTTTTCAAAATGGCGGCCGTGG